TGTATATATGTATATACATATATATATTATATATCACATATATCATATATATATGATTCTATCTCAAGACACACTTCCCATTCTCACCCTACTTGCCTAAAGTTTGGAACAAATCCACAAGCCATTTGACCCCTTGTTTACTTTCCTTGGCATTCACAGCATATTTTGTGAGCATTCCAGCTTTCCAATGAGAGCCTCACACAGGCATAGATGCTGTGGGAACTTCCAGCAGATGCTACACAGGACAGCTGCAAATTCTTAGCTCTCTGCCCACCAGGTCTGCCCAAGCTGTGGCCTGCCTCGCTCAGAAGTCTTCAGCCAACAGTTGTATGCTGTGAGACAGCTGGGCACACAGATGTTAAGCATTCTGTCAAGGGCAAACAGTGTGCTTGCCATGTGTTGAGGAACAACTGAGGATTCAAATAACCCTATGAGATTTTTCTAAGAGACACAAAACATTATGTTATATCACTCACAATGTAATAAAATTATATATATATATTATTGTATATTGTATATAATATATAATATTGTATATTATATAATATATTATATATAATATTGTATATTGTATATAATATTGTATATTGTATATAATATTGTATATTATATATAATATTGTGTATATATGTGTGTGTGTCTGTGTGTGTATTTGGTCAAGAGCTCTAAATTTTGAGAGCTGGTTGAAGGTCATTTCAGATTCTATTATCTGCCACTTTTTGCTATAATTTTGATCAATTCCGTTAGCTCTGAGATACAGTATCACTATTTGAGATCCTTCTGCCTTGCCTTTTTGAGGGCTGGGACATCACTGTGCTTTAGGGAAAATGTGTCTTATATTTGTCTAAGTTCTAGACTGGAACCTGACTCCTGAGCCATAGACTAGTGGTTTTTTTGTTTGTTTTGTTTTTGAATCATTTTTGTTTGTGCTCTCTAGGATGGAGAGGTGGTTTGGTGATTAACAAACTTACTGCTCTTCCAGGGGACCAAAGTTGAGTTCCCAATCCTCAAGTCAGCTGATCTTTCCATTTGGAGTTCCAGAGTTCCAGCTCCAGGAAATCCAAAGCCTCAGCAGGCACCAATACACATCACACACACACACACACACACACACACACACACACAGGGGTGGGAGATGATTAAAATCTAGGGGCTGAGATTGGTCAGAGGTTAAGAATACATATAGCTACATACACAGTTAAAAGTAATAATAATTTTTTTTATAAAAGTTCCCCCTAAAACCGTTAGGATCTTGCTTTAGGAGCCTTATAGATTAACAGACCACTTAATATTGTTATACATTATTTCAGAGCAAAACTGTAAGCAATTACTGAAAGGTGTTGTGGCATCTGCACACATCTCTCCTAAGAACAGTGATCAGACAGAAGAGGGACAAGCCTCGTGCTGAGTATGTCCCCCTTAACATCAGCACAAAAGCCACAAAAGGAGACAAAGCTTCGAAAGGTCAGAGGAGGGCGTCTGTACACAGGTAAAGACAATTTTGCTGAGAAAGCGTATGCAGTTGGGACGCTGAAGGCGAGCTGGGCATGGGAGGCAGAGACTAACGGAGGGTGATGATCAATATTCCTTATATAGGTATCAAAATGTCCTAATTAAGCCATTGTAATGAACTGATATATAACTAATTTTTTTAAAGGACTATGTCAAGGCCCTTTCACCAAAGTTATAGCCCAAAGGTGTCTCTCCCTGAAGCATAAAGACGCCTAAAAACTGAAGTCAGAAGCAGATCCCCGGGGCCTACAGCCCAGACTTTCACTGCTATAGCTTCCTCCTCCGTGCTCCCGTCAGAAGTGACCTAGGGTTGAGCCTTACCCACCGCCAGTCTCCACAGTCCTCTAATACACCGCAAGAAGTCTCAGGGCCTTCCCCCCGGCCCCCGCCAGCCCGGTCGCCGTAGTAACCGCCAGAGCCCCGCCCCTTCCTCGCCATCTGGTCCCGCCTCCTCGGAACCCGGAAGCTGGAGGCGCGCCCGGGGAGCTACCCGTTCCAGACCTGGGAGGAGGCGGCGGCCTCTGGCTGCTCGGCCGCGCGCCCCCTCTACCCTCTGCTCCCGCGGGGCCTCAGCTCTGCAGCCGCCCGGCCCACCCGCGCCCCGCCGGCTGCATCCGCTGCGCCCAAACCGGAGTGAAGATCCGTCCTGGCTGGAAAGAAAGGGACGCGGGAGCGGCCACGGCAGGTGAGGGGCAGGCCCTGGAAAGCAGGAGTGTGGGCGTGTGGTGCGTGGTGTGGTTGTAGGTGGGCGTGTATCGGGCATGCGTGACTTATGAGCAGAGTTCACGAGTGGGCCGGTCCTTGTGACCATGCACGTGATCCCTATCTCAGTGTGTGCGTGTGCGCGCGGGGGGCGGGGGGCGCCTGTGTGTCTAAGGTCCAGCCTCGGTTCATTGCGGGTTGTTGTTGTGTCTGAACTAGTGGAACCCAGGGCGGCCCCTGTGGCGATTGGTGCACAAAATCCTTAACCAGACATCCTCATTTTCTCGAGCTACCCATCCTGTGGCTTAGGCAACTTTTAAGGGCTATGAGTAGAGTTGTTTGGGAGATCCTACCTCGGACTAGGTGTGAGGCCTGTTAATGAGTCATGAAGAATGTAGCAGAAGAGTGCCTCTTTTTACTTCTTTTCCCAGGGAGTTGGAAGTTAGGTGCTGATGCTTTTGTTTTGTCTCCCATCTGCAGTGGTCCAGCTTCTCTTTTTTGCAAGGATACTACAAATTGGGAAGTCGACTAATAGCGATGTATGAATTTTCCAAAAACCTTTTATACCAGGACCTTGAAACGAGGTGTCAGAGAGAAATGTCGTGCAGGCAGCTTCTCCTCTCATGACATTTAGAGAGAAGTGGATAGGTTCCTGGAGAAAGGATAAATCTTTAACTGAAGAAATCTCTAAAAGATAGCTATTTAATACATAAAGGTGTGGAGAAGAGTGAAGATCTGTAATAAACAGCCGGCTGCAGGGCCTTAGATGTCGTTCAGTGGTAAAAACTCATGGTTAGTATTCTCCAACACAGAGACTCATAGTTGGGTCACCTAGAGACTCTCAAGTTCTAATACTTTTTTTATTGGTTGTATTAACAATCATAGATTGTCCCTATATAAGTCAACTATACATTGAGATAAAGGACCAGCAATATGTGACTGACCTCGTGTTAAATATTTGGAAAGGTGATTTCCTCAGCTATGAACTGCAGGTTCTGTTGAAACTCTGAAGGACAAGTACGTGCTCACAACTAGCAAACTTATTGTTCGGCAACACAAGGTCCAGAAAGAATTGGGTATCCTTAGCATCCTGGAGGAGTGGTTTTCTTGATAAAGCTTTTCTCTGGCTCTTTCCTCACCAGCCTGAACAGGTGCTTTTGTTTCTTCTGTAAAGAACAAAGTCACGAGAAATCAAATCTGTCCTGAACTCACGGCCCATGTTCCTTTTTCATCCTGACCAGTTTGGTCACAATCTCAAGCTAACTTTCTGGGCCACAGATTTTTTTTTTAAGAATGTTTCTCTTGTGACTTGGAAAAGCATCCGGCTTAAGTGGATGAAAGAGAGCTAGAACAAACCTTCCGTTTCATACCCTTCACAGCTGCTTTAGCTTTGCGGGGGTGGGGGTGTTGTTCTTTTTTTTTTTTCTTCATAGCTATCAGCTGGTCACATGCAACATTTGGTAACTGTCTCCGCTTTCCTCACCACCAAACTAGCACAAGTGTTAGAATCACCTGTCCTTGCAAAAGTGTCCTCACAGCTGTGTAGAATCTCTTATGCCTCAAGATTAGTTATAATGTGTTCAGTACTGAGGTGCTTGTGACTTATACTGAGGACTTGGTAAGGACTAACCCTTCTGCTGCTGTGGGAAAGAAGTGGGTCAGTCATTTGTGTGCCTGCCTGTGTGTTTGTGCGGTAGGTTGGTTTGTGAATGGCAGCTGGTTCCAAAACTATGGATAATTTTTATTGTAAGTTGGTTGATTGATGTTTTAGTTTTGTATGTTTGAGACAGGGTCTTATTATTACTGTATAGCTCTGGCTGGCCTGGAGCTCACTATGTAGACCAGGATGGCCTTGGATTCACAGAGAGCTAGCTGTCAGCCTCCTGGGGGGTTAGGATTAAAGATGTGAGCCGTCACACCTGGCTGTTTAGCCTGTTTTTCATAGTCCCTCCTGCAGACATTCTAGAAAATGTTTCCAGTTGGAAGTGTACAGATGCTGTGGTGGTATTTCAAGGCTGTCCTAATGTAAAATATTGCAGGATCAATATGTATGTGCTGCTAGTTGCTTTCTTTTTAAAATAACTTAAGAGAGACAGGAGAGTTAAATTAACTAAAATGTATTTCATAAAGGTATGAAACTGTCAAATAAAACAATTTTAAATAGTGAAAGATGTGTTAAAAGAAATAGTTTAAATGGCTTAGATATTTTTAAACATGTTTGATGTTTTAGATAAAATGGATTTTGTAAAGGATTGTATTAAGTCAGCTTAGAATTAAGTTCTGGACTCTCAAACTAAACCCTACTAGAGAGTCTATTCCTGCCCTGGAAGTAGGGGAATGCCGTGCAAGGCAAGTATGTAAGTCTTTCCTGGTGGTTAGGTGGAAGTGCCTTTCTTGACAAAAAGAACCTGGACCAGGGACCTTAGTTTCAGGTTCCTGTAATGACTTTGTGAGCCAAGAAGGAAAGCCAGCCAGTTCACAGCCTGGAGGTAACTTGATGAGGAGAGATTCTTGCAGGCCCTGGTTCAGTCTCTTCAGGAGTTAGTCATCCTGTAGTCAGCAGATCAGGCGGGTTGACTGCCAAACCATTCTAGGCTTTGGGGAAACAAAGATGAAACCCACAGAGGGGAAACAAGCTCAGAGGTGGTTGACTTAACCTAAGGTCACAGAAGTCCCTGTTGGTAGAGGCAGGTGGATCTCCAAGTTTGAGGCTAGTCTGGTCTACAGAGCAAGTTCTAGGACAGACAGCCCAGGGCTACACAGAGAAACCCTGCCTCAAAAAACCAAACAACAAATAAAAAAAACAGACCCCCCCCCCCAAACTAGAAGACATACCTTTTTCTCTAGAGACAAACATTTTGTTGTAAATTACAGCAGATTTACCTTATATCACAGGTGTTTCAGAGACGTCCATGTAACTTTCTGGCACTGGGGACTGAACCCAGGGCTTTGTGCATGTCAGGCAAACACTCTGCCGCACCCAGCTACATCTCAGCTTACGCACCTTTTAATCACATCAGTGGGAATGGCATGTTTGTTCCTCCTACCCTTCTTGGGTATCAGCAACATGTGAACTAAAGTTAGATTTTGGCATGTTGTGAATCATTTGAAAACAAGCTTTCTAACCCCTTTGTCATATATGTCCTATAAGCATATGGGAAGTTTATTAAAATGGTTTCTTCAGGTGCTGTCAAAAGAGTTCAGAGTCTCCCAAGTATGATGAGGTAAAAAAGAGTATTCTGTATCCAATGCGGTTCTTTAATTCCGCAAGACTGGAGTCCTCTTTTGGAGCTACTAAAGGGATCCATCTTGTCGTCCTCTCTAGTTTAAACCTGTATGGACGAGGCAAACAACCCTGGTTTCTTTGGTTAAAGTATTGTTGGTGCAGCTAGACCAGCTTTTGCATTGAGGTCAGATGTGATGAGAATTCTCTCTGCAGAACTGACATCTGCTTTTGTTTCAGGGTTAACCTCTGTTTCTGCTCACCATGGGAGAGATCAAAGTCTCTCCAGATTATAATTGGTTTAGAAGTACCGTTCCCCTGAAAAAGGTAAGTACGATTTTACTTCATTTCATAGTCGCAAATGCTGATACTTCTATATGGTTTAGAAGCTGTGCCTTAGTATTGTATGAGAGTGAAGGTTATTGCCAAATACTGTGACTAGGTGTTACAGAGTGTAAAGTTCACCCCATTCCCTGTCACATGTAGTCAGCTTTGGAGTGCAAAGGTTTTCTTATTTGTAATACCTTTTTATGTACTGAACCTCGGATAATATAGGAAAATATAGATAATATAGTCATTTCTGTTTCTGTTCCTAAAACTTAAGCTTCGTAGAACTCTGTGCAGTGATGCTTTCTTAACTACTTCCCTAAAACCATGACCAAGGCAACGTATCAAAGTTTATTTGGGGCTTACAGTTTTAGAGTCTGTGACATGGCAGAGAACATTGTAGGCAGGCATGGTGCTGGAACAGAAGCTGAGCGCTTACAGCCTCCTGATCAACAGGCTTGAGGTAATGAAAGACATACTGGGAATCTTTTAAAATCTCGAAGCCCATCCCAGTGATACATCACCCCTAAAACCACACCTCCTAATCCCCTCCCCCACAAACAGTTCCACCAACTGAGAACCAAGGATTCAAATATATGAGCCTGTGAGGACCATTCTCATCCAAACACCGTAGATGCATCCTTACTCACCTCTAGTCATCCTCTGGAGCCCATTTGCTTAACCCTCAACCATTCAGTTGACATTTGGTATCGACTATGAGCCCCCATGTTAATCCTAGACAAAGGCCATTACTATCACAGAGGGAATCTTGGCTGATGCTCTGCAGCAGTATTAGATACTGTGATTTCAGGATCATCAGTGCTGTCTGTTACAGGCATTTTAGCAAAGCAGATAGCTGAGAAAGTATGGTGCAAGCCTGACTTTATATGGAAATATGAGCTACATTTTGCCCAGGCAGAGGCTTCCTGCTAATAGCCCTGGCAATGTTGGGAAACTCACCGGGTATCTTAATGCTCCCAATAGTTTGACAAGGTGTATGCTATGGACAAGAAACTTGAGATCTATGGAATTAGCTAGCGTATTAGAGATCATAACGCCTACTAGACTTTGGCTTAAAAATCAGAGTAATCTGGTTTCAAAGTCAGGCTAACTGGAGCTGCTTACAAAGGCAGACCCTTTTACTTTTTGCTTCCCAGGAAACTTGCCAGCATTGAAGTAGGGTCCCTCTCCCTCAGCCTTCCAAGTAACTCCCATGAACTCTTGATAGATGCACTTCTTCAGCAAGCTACCTCAGTCAGTCCCAAGACCCCCAAACTGACCTAAATATTCTTAGAAGTCACTTCCTTGTTAGATTCTTCTCCCCACGCTTGTTTTTCATGATAAATTTGCTTGAAATTTTATGGTGCTTTGGTTTCAAGTTGTTGAGCAGGGCAAGTTCCAGGACAGCCAGGGCTGCATAGAGAAGCCCTGTCTTGAATAAAACAAAAGTTGTCAAGCAGATACTGTGTGTTCTGACAAAGTTCTGATGAATCTGGCATTCAGAGAACTCAGAGGAAGTTGAATACCCTTAGGTATTTATGGTGTATGTTCAGAATGCCTCAGTCAATTCATAGAGCATGCTATTTCTGAATATATGTGTATAAGCTACTGTTTCAGAACCCAGTATTTGTGTTACTTTCCTCCCAAGTTAGTTATTGAAACAAATCTCAAGGGGATTGATATTTATGCTTCCTTACATGATTTGACAAGACTTGGGATTTGTTGTGTAGGCTGAAGAGGTCCTTAGGTTTGTTTGTTTGTTTGTTTGTTTGTTTGTTTTTTAATAAAAAAAAATCCATAATCACAGGGAAAAGATACATAGGAATCAAAACAAATGGCACAATACAAAGGTCAAAAACATGAGATACATGTTTTTTATCTGTTGGGAAGGCCCAACAGAAATTATTCAAATTCCCCGGACTTTGCCTTGCCTCATTTGTCTGCTCCTGGTGACACGAATGACCCTGGTTAGTCAGTTGCTACCCACTGAGGGACATTGTAGAGTCCACAGTCCTGCTAGCTAGGAACACTCAGGGGGGAAAAAAAAAAGATAACTATTGATTTGAACTGACAAGTGTTGGTCCAGTGAAGTATGATAATTAGCCTGCATCGAGTTTGTGTGAAGCATTTGACTCGCCTCGTTTTATGTTCTTTCTTCCCTGTCAGGCTAAGAACACTAAATGACAAAGGGTTCTGACAGCCTCCTCCACATCCCCTTCCTAAAAAACAATTTACCTTCTCCCACGACCCATCCTCAAGCAAACGGTTTGAAGCATTTCCTGAGCCAGTGACCTACACATATGCTTACCTGGTCCTTCATCTGTCAATGAAATCCCCTCCTCCCTCTCAGATTTGCTCCTCATTGGATCCTGAAGCATCTGGGGTCTGCTTAGCTCTCCCCATAGCCAGATTCTCCATTCCTCCTTGCCTGCCCTGTTCAATCTGAGACCTGCTGACCTCAGCCAGTCCTTTGGGTCAGCACTCAAGAATGACTACAAACTGTTATTATGTACACACACACACACTCAAGAATGACTGCAAACTGTTTTTATGTACACACACACGCACGCACACACGCACACACGCACTCACACTTACACACACCCTCATGGAAAATATGAGAAAAATATGCATAGTTTACTGTTTACTGATAAACAAAACAGACTTCCCATTATTCTGCATAGACAGTCCAGTTAAAAACAGAGCAGTTAAACAGTTAAGAATCTGTTCTTTGAAGGGGAGGGGGGAGATGGGATAGGGGGCTTCCAAAGGGGAGACCTGGAAAGGGAAAAACAATTGAAATGTAAATAAAGAAAATATCCAAAAAAAAAAAAGTTTACACAAAAAAAAAGAAAGAAAGAGAAAAAGAAAGAAAGAGAGAAAGGGGAAAAAAAGAATCCGTTCTTTGAAAGTTTATAAAGTGCATTAAGGAAAAGGAAACCAGAACAGGTTATTGTAGATACTCATCTGTGATCCCCATATTGTCCTGTAACAAACAAGACAGGTCTATTACAATTGCCAGTGACTGTTATAAACCTCCTCACGAGACATTCCTTTCTTTCCCCGTTTCAATCTTCCCTCCAGATAATCGTGGATGACGATGACAGTAAGATCTGGTCACTCTATGATGCTGGCCCCAGAAACATCAGGTGTCCTCTCATCTTTCTTCCTCCCGTCAGCGGAACTGCAGATGTGTTTTTCCAGCAGATTTTGGCTTTGACTGGATGGGGTTACCGTGTTATAGCTGTAAGTATGGCTGCTTCAGCACTGAATCTCAGATTCCTGGCCTTCTGTTTCTGGCTGACTATAGTAATGGGAACTCTTTATTTGAAGTAAGGTTATATTTTCCCGTTTTACGTCTCAGTCACGAAGCCCTTTAGTTGTCTTGTGGTGCATCCAACGCATGGCTGAGTGAGCCCCATACCGCTAAGTGTATGCTTACCATAAGTGGTTCCATACCACTAAGCTCTGTGCCCTGCTCTGATTTTCTTTTAGGGTATCCTCAAGGTATCATCGAAAAAGGCTTTGTATTTCTGAGTATTTCTTAACAGGCTTAGGGCTTGATCTAGTGTTGCACTGTCCTTCTGAATTTCTTTAAGAGTGAGGGTGTTTATAGGAAGATTTCTGTGGCTTGTGATAAAGGTTTGTAGTGCAACCAATTTAAGCTTATCCCAGACCAGCTTAAAAATAAATGAGACTCAACTATGGTTATTTTATTTGGCTTTGACAATGACTGGGGGGTAACCTCTAATCTACTTTTGTAACTGCTGGCCTGGCTTCCTCTGCAGTGGTGTACCCCAAATACTTGCTGTTTCTCCTTGCCATGTGTTCATGGCACCCCTTTTCATGGCGCCTTCTTTTTGTGGTCTCTCCCCTCTTCCTCTCTACCCACCAGGTAACTCAAAACCTACCTCTAATTCCTCCAGTAATTGGCTGTAGCCACTTTTATTTAACCAGTAGGTTTTTTGTTTGTTTGTTTGTTTTTCCAATTTTGTAATTATATTTATGTACAGAAAACTTAGTGTACATTTTTTAACCCAGTTTAGTGGCGCATTCTTTAGCCTTTGCCTCTTCCAGCTTGGCAATGCGAGCCACAGACTTAGGACCCAGGACATTCCCTCCCCAGTGGCAGCAGATCTCGTCATGTCTGTCATTATAATTGGTCCTAATAGCTTCCACCAGCTTAGCCAGAGCACGCTTGTCTTCCGAGTTAACCTGTGTGAAGGCAACAGTGGTGCATGTCTTCCTGAGGCCCCAGCCTGGCCTTTCCCTTGATGATGCAGTAGGGCACCCCCATCTTTCCACACAGGGCAGGCAGGAACACCACCAGCTCAATGGGGTCTACATCATGGGCAGTCACCACTAGCTGAGCCTTCTTGTTCTCCACCAAGGTGGTGACTGTATTGACTCCTGCTCGGAGGACAGGTGGTCTCTTAGTTAGGACGTGCCCTTTGCCAGCAGCTTTCTTCTCAGCATGGGCCAGTAGCCTTTGCTTCTTCTCTTGCTTTGTCTCTGGCCTGTACTTGTGGGCAAGCTTACGCAGCTGAGTAGCTGTTTGCCTGTCCAGGGCCTGGGTGAACTGGTTAATGGCAGGAGGTACTTTGAGCCGCTTAGAGAGGATGGCTCTTTCCCGCTGCAGCCTGATGTAGCGGGGCCATTTAACGAAGTGTGTTAGATCTCTTTTGGGCTGGATGTCCTGCCCAATGCCGAAGTTCTTGAGCCTTTTCTCAAACAAAGGATTGACCACCTTTTTGGCCTCCTGTTTCTTGATGACGGCGGGAGCCAGGGCCACCTTCTTCCCCTTGGCCTTCTTTCCTTTGGGCATCTTGCTTGGCTGGAGTAGTAACCAATAGTTTTAAAAAGGAACAAAGTTTGTACAACAGAAGCTTGTACATGTGAGAATTCACAGGAAACACCTGTCTTCTGCTTTATATAGCTGCAGTGGCTTCTGGGACCTGCAGTGTTATGTCCCCCGCTCCCTGTGGGCTGCTGTTGTAATCCATGTCAGTCACTCATCTCTTGTGTTGGGAGGTGAATTAGTTAATTTACATCTTGCAAAGGGACAGGACACTTGCCAGAAGCAATGTAAGGAGGGGCAAATTTCATTTGGCTCACAGTTCAAGGGCACAGATCCTCATGGCAGAGATGTCACAGCTGCAGGGGCTTGAGGCCGTTGGAGGCAGAGAGAGAATGCAGGTACTCAGTTCGATTTCTCCTTTTTATGTTCAGTCTGTGACCCAGTCCATGGAATGGTGCCACACATGATCAGGTAAGGTCTTCCTCCTCAGACTAATGTAGATAACCCCTCATGACCATTCCCAGAGGCTGGCCTGCAGGGTGAGTCTACAGTCTGCAGAGTTGGCAGGCAGTGATTGGGTTCCACATCAGAGGTCCCAGCAGACAAGTCTGAGTCCTCTTTCTCCTGACAGCCCTTTTCTTGGGAGAACAGTTGACATCACCGCTCCCTCCAGGCCTTATCTCTGGCTTCATCAGATGGTGTGAATCTCTGCGGTCAGCCCTCCTGTGTCCTGGGTGTTCAATAATCCTTCACATACGGCACTTCAGGAGAGTGAGCGCCCCAGCCCTCCACAGCCATGGGTGGAACATGAGCTGCCTTCAGGAATCTGCCCTCTGGAAAGCAAATACTGACGGGGCTTCCTGCCTCAGACTGGCAGATCTCAGAGGCCTCAGCTCTGTCTGATTTTCTGTTTCGGTTTGGTGTTTGTCTTTCCATCTGTCCCCTCCTTAGGTCTTCGGTTTTTCTAAGACTGGTTTTCTCTGTTGTAGCCCTGGCTGTCTGGAACTTACTCTGTAGACCAGGCTGGCCCCAGATCTACCTGCCTCTGCCTCCTGAGAGCTGGGATGAAAGCTATGTGCCACCAAACCCAGCTTTTTTATTTTTTTATTTTTGTTGAGAAAAGTTCTCTGTAGCCCTGGTTATTCTGGATCTTGGGACCAAGCTGACTCACAGAGATCCACCTGCCTCTGCCTCCTCAGTGCTGGAATCCAAGGTGTGTGTCACAGCACCCTGCAGTTTAAAATTTAAAATTATGAGTTTTTTAAATTACGAGTTTGTTTGTTGTATGGACAACTTGCAAGAGTCATTTCCATATTCCTACCGTGTGGATCCCAGCGATCAAACTCTAGTCTTCAGGTGTGGTAGTCCTCTACCTGCCAAGCCATTTCTCCAGCCCCATGACCCCATTTCTTTAGCCATAGGGTGGATGCAGAAAAAGTCAGTAGTATATTCAAAACTGTCAATATTTGATTGATTAGCAGGCTGGCAAGTTAGCTCGGTAGACAAAACCTTCGCTGTACAAGGCAAGTGCCTCCACCTGCTGAGCCATCTTGCTAGCTGCTCTGCCCTATATTTTAAGATAGTTTTTTACCAAACCTAGAACTCATGATTCAGATACATTAGCCAGCGAATTTTGGGGATCTGGTTCCCCTCCCCCCCCCCCAAAAAAAAAAAAAAACCAACACTGGAGTTACAGACACACATCACCTACCAGTTTTTACCTGGGTGCTGAGACTCCAAACTTGGGTCCTCATGCTTGTGCTTCATGGACTTCACTCACTGGGCCACATCCCTAGCCCACTTGATTTTAAACAAATTTCTAATTAACAGCCACAAAGTGGTGTTTGTAGTATTCATATATTTTAGTTTGCTGCGTGTTCCTCCATGCAAGCCGATGTTAACAATTTCTGTCTTCTGAAACATTAATGTCAATTTAATGCTAACATACCATTTATTTTTTAAAGATTTGTTTTATTATTTTGAAAGAGAGAGAGAGAGAGAGAGAGAGAGAGAGAGAGAGAGAGAGAGAGCGCGCGCACGGACAGGCAAATGCAGCTTAGCAGAGGAGTTTCTGTAACTGGGCTCATAAATGACAAGCTTATTTCCAGGGAGTGAGACTTTTCTCCTAAGAATTTCTCCATGTGTGTCTCTCTGCGTGTCTGTGTGTCTCTCTGTGTGTGGTCTCTCTGTGTGTGTGTCTCGTGTGTCTTTGTGTCAGTTGTGAGCTGCCCAGCGTGGATGTTGGAAACCAAATTTGGGTCCTCTGAAAGAACAGCAAGTGCTCTTAACCACTGAGCCATCTCTCCAGCCCTGCAGGATGTTAATTAAAGTCTACTGATTTCATTCCAAGATTTGCTCAGCTTTACCTAGATTTAATTGGGAGTGGGGGTGGGGCAGGATGACATTGTGTACAGCTTTATTGCCAGCATGTGGCATTGATTTTGTTTTGTTTGGTTTGGTCTTAGGGATTAAATTCAGAGCCTGTGTATTCTGAGCACATGGTCTACCACTGAGTCATGCCTTTAACTTAGTGTGAAGACTTTCAAATTAAAGCCTTATTAAATACGTTCCCTTTTCTTTTATGGTAACATCTATGTCCTATTCCAGAAGCCTTATCCACAAATAGAATTTTACAATAAAATATATCAAATCTACAACAGTATCTATCGCAGTGATTTTTCTTCAGTGACAATATATATCTGAGGAGTTAAAACAACAAAATGAGTCTGCCAGGTAGGTATATATGGAGAGATACAGATTTTTTTTTTTTTTTTTTTTTAATGAGGAGGCTGAAGATAGATGTTTCATGTGGAGAGACAGAGAGCTTGCTTGAACACACACAGGCACCAAGTCCCATCCCTGGCACCACACACACAGACACACACACAGACACACACACACAGAGACCACATACATACAGAGACACATAGAGACACACAGAGACCACAGAGAGAGAGATACAGATACACAAGACACATACATAGACACAAAGACACATGAGACATACACAGAGAGACACACAAGACACACAGAGACACACACACACGGAGAAATTCTTAGGAGAAAAGTCTCAGTCCCTGGAAATGAGCTTGTCACTTATACTGTGCTTGCTGGTGATGTTAGCAGGCAGGCTTCTTAGGGTCAGCTGCCATACTTTGTTTTTGTTGTAAGTGAAAGTACAGGAAATCAGAAAGACTTAAGAAAATTGCAAAGGAGCCGGGCGGTGGTGGCGCACTTGGGAGGCAGAGGCAGGCGGATTTCTGAGTTCGAGGCCAGCCTGGTCTACAGAGTGAGTTCCAGGACAGCCAGGGCTACACAGAGAAACCCTGTCTCAAAAAACCAAAAAAAAAAAAAAAAAAAGAAAATTGCAAAGGACCATTTTATTGAGCAATTCCTTAATGATACTAAAAAAAGGGGGTGGAGAGTGTCTTCTTGAGAAAGGATTTTATTTCCAATTCTCCTGGCTCTTTGAACCTCATAGTCTCCCTTCAGAATGAAGCTGGGTTTCCTTACCTGGGCGATCTCTGCAGTAGTTGCCCTTGACCCTCAGACTCTTTGGAAAGGAAATTGATGTGGATTGAGATTGTTGTGTGGAGCAGCATTGATGGCTCAGTGGTTAGAGCGCTGACTGCTCTTCCAGAGGTCATGAGTTCAAATCCCAACAACCACATGGCAGCTCACAACCATCCAAAACTGCAGCACCAGGAGATCTGACACCTCTTCTGGTCTCCATTGGCACCCACATGCGTATGGCTTTCAAACACATAAAGATTTTGTTTTGTTTTGGTCTTTTTTGTTTTGTGACAGAGTTTGTTTGTATAGACCTGGCTGTCCTAGAACTCCCTCTGAACCAGGCTGGCCTCAAATTTATAGAGATCCTCTGCCTCTACCTCCCAAGTGCTGAGATTAAATGTGTGTACCACCACCCAACAAGATAAATCTTTGAAAAATAAAAAATTTTTAAATGTTATTTTAACAGACTTAGAATGAGAAACAAAGCTTGGGCAATAGGAAACATTATGTGATTCCTGAACTATTCAAATATGAGCAGCATTTTAAATTTTTAACATAAATTAAAATTTTTATTTCAGTTGCAGTATCCAGTTTATTGGGACCATCTTGAATTCTGTGATGGATTCAGAAAACTTTTAGACCACCTACAGTTGGATAAAGTGAGTAGTAAACTAATGACTTAGAATGTGATTGAAGTGTGAATCCTGTAAAGGCTAAGGTTGTTTTTTTTTTTTTTTTAATAATAGCTTTATTGTGATAGAATTCACATACCACACAATGTCCCGTTTTAAAGCAGACAGTCACATGTTTTAAATTTCCAGATAAAGTTGTAGCTGTCACCACAGTCAACTCTGGAGCATTTTTTCCCACCTTTCCAAAAAGAAAATTTATTGGGCCAATGAGATGGTAAAGGCACTTGCCACCAAGCCATCCCAGGGACCACGCGACACATGAAGAGAGCCCATTGCTGTAGGTTGTTGTGGTGTCAGCTGTACATGTGGAGGGTTTCTGTGATTACCAAGGCCAGTGGAATAACAGTCTGAGAAGAATAAGAAGACAGTTGGGTCAACACAATTCAGTAGCCACTGTAGAGTCTTACACTGGGCAGTTTATTTTAGGCATATTTAAGCACATCACAATTTAAAAAATAATTTTGTTGGGATAATTAACTTGTCCTGTGTGCCCAGTAAGGCACGACTACATCGAAACTCTTCATAAACTACAGGTGACATCTTAAGGGTCTGGTATGGTCATACAGATAACACAGAGGTCACTGGGCTATTAACTACCTTCCTGCCTTCTGGGTGGAAGACAGGTAATCTGTCTCTGCCTTTGAAGAGACAGCCCTGCATGTTTTACATTCTTAGTTTCCTTAGTGCTTATCTGAGCACTAAGGACCTCGGGACCTCCTACATCCTCTGACCCCCACGAGCAGGCCATGACCTCTGTGCTTGCATCTACACACAAACACACATTTTTTTTCCCATAGTGCAAGTAAAAAAAATCATTAGCAGTCATTCTCCGTCTTTGCCCCTAGCTCTGCAGCCGAATCTGTTTTGTCTCTGACCTTATCTGCTCTGCACATTTTAACCTAAGTATAATTATATAAGATGTGGCCCTTTGTAACTGGCTTCTTCTGCTTAGCGTAATGTGTCTGAGGTTCTTTCATGGTATTGTGGGTCAGCACAGATTGTGGTATCTCTATCTCAAATGCTACACATGCATCTCAAATCCTGGACTGGTTGCATACATTTTACCAGTTGTGTGTCCCCGATCTGAAGATTCAAAATGCTATAAAATCTGAGATTTTATCAAAATTATGTCCTCAGAAAGGTTTTGGTTTCCAGAGCACTAGATCATTGTTTTATTTTATGTGAGACGGTCTCGTGTAGCCCAGGCTGGCCTCAAGCTCACAACGTAGCCAACCATGTTCTTGAACTCTGGATCTTACACCTCCCAAATGCTGGAGGGTTAGAGGCACGAGCCATCACTCTCCGTGACCCATGTAGCTGGATCCTAGAAACCTGACAAGTGACGAGGGAATGAAGGAAGGTCAGACTTGTGTACGGAAAAACTGAGCTTGGGTGGGCCTTGCGCTCTGATGGAGATGCACCAGCAGTTTGTCAGTGAATTTATTGTATACCACTGAGCAAGGAGGCAGTTTTTTAAAATTATTTACTATTATACACCTGAACAAGGAGGTGGGAAGTTGAGGGGAACAGTCATCCGGAGGGGGAAGATGTGGTAGATAAAACACTGGTTTTGGCTGAACATCAGTTTCTCATCAACACTTATATTTGGTCCAGAGGGAGGCTTTGCTGTTCCCATGAGTCCTTGGCGTGGTTGTGCTCACGGCAGTGGTACCCATTCATTCACCTCCACCCCTCACAACCATACCCAGATGTTTTTTTTCCCGGCTGGTTTTGTTTGTTCGCTTTAGACTTATGCGAGTGTATGCGCAGATGCATGTACTTCAGAGGTCAACAGAGCATATTACGCGTTTCTGTCACTCTCCACCCATTCCTCTGAGGCAGGGTCTAGGACTACAGGCTTGTTCAGAACACCAGCCTGTCACATAGCTGTTAGGATCTAAACCCTGGTCCTCATGACTGCAGCAAGCACTCTTAACTGCCGAGTCATTGTTTTCTTGATGGGGTAAATACGTTTATTTAAGTAAAATATTTGTTAAATTTATAACTGCTGTAGATATTTGAGCTAGGTAGTGATGACATACTATGTGATTAACAACAGTTGAAGCAACTCAGTGTCTTAGGATCAGCCTTATGTTTATTTATAATTAGGTCCATCTGTTTGGGGCATCTTTGGGAGGCTTTTTGGCTCAGAAATTTGCTGAATACACTCACAAGTCTCCCAGAGTGCACTCCCTCATCCTGTGCAATGCCTTCAGTGACACGTCTATCTTCAACCAAACGTGGACTGCAAACAGGTAAGGGCATCTTTAAATGTTGGCTTTAGGGGAATTTTGACAAAGTGGGAATAGGAGGTAGGCAAGAAAAGAATGCTGTAAACTCCATGTTCAACTCTTTACCCAGTGTGGGTTGGGCCTGTCGTCATGCTACAGTAACAGATGTTGTTGCTACGGTAACACATATTGTCTTGTCCTGTCCTTGTAATATCAGTTCTCTAAATCAACACAGTTTCATGTGGGTTTCCCCAACATTCTGTCATGCTCTGAGATAAATCTCCATACTGTTGCTTTCCTTCCTTTCTGGGTTAGTGCCCTGAGGGGTGATCACCAGTGGAAAGACAAGAACACTTAGTTCATAATGGTGTGATCTTGACACTTGATGTCCTGTTCTTCAGAAAGAATTGCTTTAGGGGCAGCCAGCAAGGTTCCAGGTTCCTCTCAACCATCCTCTCATTGATTTTATTTACCATTTTATTTTTAATCTTTGCTTGTGTGAGTGTGAGCCATGTCAGGACACCTCAGGTATGAGCCCTGATGTTTTGAGGTTGTAACCCCAGTGCTGGGTTGGACAGATTGCTAGCCAGACAGCCTAACCTAAAAACAGTAAGAGACCCTGTTTCAAGAGAACAAGGCCAAGAGTGATACAGGAAGACAGCTGTGTATCACACACACAAAACAGTCCTGTTCCTTAGGTCTTTCTTTTCTTGTCAATATGTGAAGATTATGTGTCTTATACATGCTGAAGTAGCTACTTCCCTTCAGGGACAAGATTGCCTATCCCACATGCTCATAACCTTCCCTTGGGTCATTCATTCAGACAGCTGAATGAATGACTAGTTCAGTGGTCTATAGACAGTAATACTTAGGAGGGTGGTGTCAGAGACATCTTTTGGGATCAGAGTACAATTCAGTGCAGAGGTAGCTCATACCTCACACTGGGACGGCCCAGTAGAATGGCTGCATAATTTCTTCTTCCTCCTCTTTTATTAAGGGATAGGAGGGGACATACACAGAGGTTGTCCCAAGGCTTTGGTGCCTGCCAGGCAAGTATTCAGGCAACGAGCTACAGCCCCAGCCCTCCGGACTTAATTCTTTCCAGATTTAAAAGCCTCATGGTAGAAGCAAGCTGTGGTGACATGAACCTGTCATTCCAGCTCTAAGAAAACTGGAGGAGAAATTGTCAGGGGTCTGAGGCCAGTCATAGCTACAAGATAAGAGACTGTCTCAAACCACAGAAACAAAAGCCTCATACAGAAGTTTTATGACTTGGACTCCAAATTCTGCAAAGGAAGAAAACAAAAAAAAAAAAAATGTCATTTACTCCAGAGCTGCCTGGATTTGTTTAAATACCAGCAAATGTGTCCTTGACTATCAGACAGCAGTTCTCAACCTGTGGGTTACGATCCCTTTGGCAAACCTTTTATCTCAAAAAATATTTAGATCATAATCCATAACAGTAGCAAAATTACAGTTGTGAAGTGGCACAATCAAATAAATTTCTTTTATTGGAGGGGGGCACCACAACACGAGGCACCGTATTAACGGTTGGCAGCATTAGGAAGGTTGAGAACCACTGCATTTAGGACAAAGCAGACCATCAGTAAGTGAGTTGTGTGTGTGTCTACGGCTGAGCTACGAGGCAGGTTGTCTCCACAGTTGGCTAAATAATTCCAGTCACTTCTGTCTTGGCAAAGCTCTGTTGAACAGGTCCTGCCACTTACGTGCAAATAGTTCTTGGGATTATTTTCTCCTGGAACTGTGAAAAGGTGTCCCCGTAATCTCCGAGAGCAGTAGTTGTCAGAGTGCAGATTGTCAACAACTCTATTTTCCTTAGACCTTGATACTCAGTTGAAGGTGGTTTTTTGAATACTGATGTTATGTGCAGTCTGGCAAGATCTTATATTTATATATATTAAAATTTTTACTTTTACTTTTTTTTTCTTTTCTTTTTTTTTTTTTTTTTTTTTTTTTTTTTTTTTTAGATAGATCTCATGAAACTCAGACATCTGCCAGCTTCCTCCTCCCAAGTGCTGGTATTAAAGGCTCATTCCATTATGCCCAGCTAATACATCTTATATTAATGGGCACCAAGCAAGCATGTGGTACACTGACATACGTGCAGATAAACCACTTACATATAAAATGAGTAAGTCTAGTTACAAAAAGACACAAGGCTTTGTCCCTTCTCTCCAAGGGTGATGTGATGACAGTCTTTGCCCCTTCTTTTAAGGCAATTCTGAATGGGAATTAAACTTTGTCTTGTGTGAACCCTGTCTGCCCCATCCCGGGGCTGTTGTTCCCTGTCTGGTTACTTCAGGTTGTTCAGCTGAACCTTGGTGCTGAGTCGTCCTGGTGGGAAGGTTACTTGAGCATGTGGGATAGGCAATCTTGTCCCTGAAGGGAAGTAGCTATTTCAGCATGTATAAGACACTGTGCTTTGGGCTGAATTCCAGAATAGTATTCTAAAGGTTACAAAAGGTTGTCCTCTGCCTTCCCCAAGACTCTCATCAGGAGAGCAGCCTATAAAGTGCTTTTTGTTCCAGCTACCTAATATTTCAGTTCTGAACAAATAGTACTGGTATCCAGCAGGAAATCAAGTCACTGGTTGGCTATCAGACTGACCCAGGACTCCTATGGGGCAGTTTGTATAGTGTAAAGTTCTTTGAGTGTTTCTGTATCTGCGAACCTCCCAGTCTTTTCTTCCTTTCTGTGTACCTTCACATTAGAGCTCTTTATTCTGCTGTTCCTCCACCTTGACTTAGTGCCAGTCCTTTGCCTCAGGAACCTCAGTGTTTGGAGAGACCTTTTCCTCCAGTCTAAGGAAGCAGCCAGCAAGGTGTTCCCTCCTCCTGTAGTTACTGTGTATTATTAACACCATAAGTGTTACATCACCTCCCCCCGAACAGGTTTGTATGAAACGCTCCCTCAATTCTTTACAGATTTCTCTTATTCTGCTTTTGGGATAGGGGGATGTCACGTGTTTGGAAGCAGAGATTGGCATCCAGTATCTTCCACCATCATTGTCTGTCTCACATAGAGGCAGAGTCTAGACTAGCTATTCTAGCTCGACATCTTGCCCTGGGAATCCCCTGCCCTGACTTTCCCCAGGCTCCCAGCATCGACTCAGGCACTACCAATGTGAACTCCAGCCCTTGTGCTTGTAGGGCAAGCGCTTTACCCTTTGAGCCGTCTCCCCAGCCCTGCTTTGTTGGGTTTTTGTTTTGAGACAGGTTCCATGTTTTCTAGTCCGGCTTCCAACTGTCTGCGTGTGACTTAGAAGTCCTAATTCTCTCAAGTGCTAGGGTTATAAGTGTGGACCACCAAACCCAGTTTATGCAGTCTTGGGGATTGAACCCAAGGCTGTTTGCATACTAGACAAGCACTCTACCAACTGAGCCACATCGTAGCCCTTACTCTGCTCTGAAATGTCATGCTCATGCCACATGTTGTGTTACCTCATGTTCAGCATGTGTCCTCTCTAGGAACTGAAATGGATCTTTGGTGTTTTATTGTAGCTCCCGATCTTATTGAGTCTCTTGCTTGGGTAGCCTTTCACCACTTCCTGAAGCCTGACAGAGTACATGTCCAATAACGCTCCCAGGAAGGCCTTCCCTATCAGTTGTATCCCAGTACAGTCTCATCCCTGGAGTGGGTTCTCTTAGACGCTGGGGATCTACTTGTGTCCCTCCTGCCATGCCTGGTCAGTCAGTGCTCCTTCATCTCCTGGTAACGGCATGTACAGTCAGTGCACTGCAAAGATAGAGTGAATTACTCCTTGGAGGGAAGTCTTTCTGTGGGAAAGATTATCATTCTGTCAGTTAAGCAAGCCATGTTGTAAAATGTCCAACACCCAAAGACCTCTACAGGCCACACAGTCAGAGGAGAAACGGCTGCCTGGCCCAGCTGCCCAGCTTCCTTCATCTTCCTCTTTTGAGTTCTCCTTCACAAGCTTTCTGTTACTTGCTCTGGTGTTTCCTTTCCTTTCTTGTACCATCTGGAGCAATCTAACCATTCTACTTTAGGACAAAAAAATTATTATCCCAAACAAATTCTGTTTTTAACTTTCCTCACTACAAAAAAGTACTTCGTACTTACTTCAAACTTGTACCTTTCCTTGCATTTCTCTCTTGTTTCCTGCTTCCTTCCTTGACATACAGATCATCAGGACATGTGTCTGGTGCATGCCTTTAGCTGTGGAGCAAGAATCAGCCCAGCCTGGTCTGTGTAGCAAGTTCCAGGCTATATAGTCTCAAAACAATAACAACAAAATTATATTTTAAAACAAACTTTACAGAAATATCTAAATTTAGACAATTTTTTTTCAGTAAGATATAATATAATTTTATAATGTTTTCAACAGAATAAACCTGCAGACCTCTAGTTTAAAGGTCAGCTCCATTGTATTTAAGCATTCATTCATCTGTAAACCAACCCAAAGAATTCTTGGGATTTTTTTTTTCCATTTCAATCATCATCTCCCTATGACACAAGCACACACCGCTGGTTTCAGACTCACTGTGTAACTCAGGCTGGCTGTCGGGGGTCAGAGGGGGCCCCTGGATTATGGACGTCCTGCTGTGAGGGAGCCTCAGTGCTAAGATCACGCTGCATTTCTGTGTGGGTCACTAGCCTCTGTCCTTGTTTTGCAGCTTCTGGCTGATGCCAGCATTTATGCTCAAGAAGATAGTTCTGGGGAACTTTTCCTCTGGCCCAGTAGACCCTATGATGGCTGACGCCATCGATTTCATGGTGGACCGGGTAAGGATCATGACACTTTTACTGGGGTTTTTCTTGCACATATAAAAGGAGGTCCATCATCTGTGGATGTGTAGGAGTGGTCTTTGTGGAGCAGTCCTGTGTTAACTGCAGTACTGCAGACAGACCCCACTGCTGGGGACGGCTTAGCTCCATCCGCGTCTCCCAGCAGCTGCTGCATGTTCAAATCCAACAGGAGCTTAGAAAGTTGAATAATGCTTGCTGGGGCACTTGGGAGGTAGAGGCAGACAGATCTCTGTGAGCTCAAGGCCAGCCTGGTTTACAGAGTGAGTTCCAGGACAGCCAGGGCTACACAGAGAAACCTGTCTTTAAAAAAAATACTAATTAATTAATTAAAGAGGCTAGAGAGATTGCTCAGTGGTTAAGAACACTTGTTGTTCTAGAGTTTGGTTCTTGGCACCAGCTATGGTGTTAACTCCCTCTGTGGGAAATCCGATACCTGAGGATAATCTGGTCACTGAGGGCACCACTTTATAGGCTGGAGAGATGGTTAAGGGCCTGAACTGCCCTTCCAGAAGACTCAAATTGGGTTCCCAGAACACGTGTCAAGCAGCTCACAACCACCTGAAATCCCAGCTTCAGGGGATCCATTACCCTCAGCTGGCCTCACAGGCACCTGCAATTTAAGCATAAACTTAATTTTTTTTTTTTTTTTTTTTTTTTGCTGGAGAGATGGCTCAGAGGTTAAGAGCACCAGCTGCTCTTCCAGAGGTCCTGAGTGCAATTCCCAGCAACCACATGGTGGCTCACAACCATCTGTAATGAGATCTGATGCCCTCTTCTGGTGTGTCTGAAGACAGCCTACTACAGTGTAGTTATACAAATAAAATAAATAAACCTTTAAAAAATAAATAAATAAAAGTTTTTTTTATCAGCCTGGCTACGGTAATTATGCCTGTAAGCTAAGTACTTTGGAGGCTGAAGCAGAAGGGTCTCCACCTTGAGACCAACCTATACAGCGAGACTGTCTCTAAGAACAGAGCTTCTCAGGCCTCACTAGACAATGCTTCTGGGATTGCTGGGCCTCTGAGAATCTGGCTCCTTTAGGGTGGAGAGAGGCTTTGTTTCTTGAAAGGAGGTATCTTGTGGCCTCAGGTTTGCCTCCTGAGTGTTGGGTTGCTGCAGGCCTGTGCCACCATGCCCAGCTAAGACCAGTTTTTACTTGACCTCCCTCCTGAACTATTCAGGTCAATGTGATAAGCAAGTCTGCACTTTGGCATTTCAGAACCACGGGGCAGAAGGTCCCGTGACATGCTGATTCATCGCCTTTGAGGCACACAAGTTAGGGTGCAGTTGAGTTCAACAGGCAGTATAGGTTGTAGCCAAAAGAAGCCATGGCCACATGGCATTTATAGGGCCTGACTCAAGTGCCACAATAGAAAAGGCCACTGCCCAAGAGTCCCCGATCCATTGCAGTCTCTCAGACACATGTTCTCTCATTGGTGAGTTTTCCACCATAAACATCCCCAACAACACAAGCACAATGTCACTTATGGACCAGCTGTGTGCATGAGAACAGAATTCCTGCAAACCCTTACCTGTATTTCTATCTCTTCTGCAGCTGGAGAGTTTGGGTCAAAGTGAACTGGCTTCAAGACTCACCCTCAACTGTCAGAATTCCTACGTGGAGCCTCATAAGATTCGGGACATCCCTGTCACCATCATGGATGTGAGTTTCTCTTGAAATACTATAGGTACTTGCCATTATAAATATATAGCCAAGATATAATTATTTGGTGACATTAACCATACTTCTTTCTTCAAATACACCTTGGCCTTTTCAATTCCTCGGCATCCTACATCCAACATCCTGGATTGTTGCTCACAAGAGTGACAGGCACCCTTGTCCTAGGTGTGCTGGTGATACTGATTGGAGATAACCTGTTACATAGCAAGTTCTAGGCCAGCCAGCCAGCGATAGACTGTCTCAGCTCTCTCCCCACCAAAAGTTAAAAAAATATAGTCTGCAGAGTTGATGGCTTAGTGGTTAAAGAGTACTGGCTGTTCTTACATAGGACCCAGGTCTGTTTCCCAGCACCTATGTGGTGGTTCATAACGATCTGTAACTCCACTTCCACAGAATTGCATTCCCTCTCTGGTCTCCTCAGATATCAGGCATATAGGTGGTACATCAACATTCATGCAGGCCAAAAACCTACACATAAAATAAAATCAAATAAGCACGGGAGAGGTGTTTAGGGTGCTGGAAACAGAACCCAGACTTTTCATGTGCTAGACAGGCTCTCTGCCACTCAGCCATACACTCATTAGTTGAGAGCCCTTACTGTTCTTGTAGAGGACACAGGTTCTGTTCCCAGCACCTACATGGCTTCTCACAACTGTCCATAATTCCAGCAACAGAAGATCCAGTGTCCTCTTCTGGCCTCCTCAGGTACCCACACACATAGTGACACACATGTAATTCTACCTTAAACTTTTTGAGGAATTGACATAGTGTTTCCCAATGGCTGTATCATTTTACGTTTCCCCCAGTAATGCATAGGGTTCTGGTTCACTTAACAGTCTGACATTTTTGGATGAGTCCAGCATTTAATGGCTGAACCTGCATTCAAACAAACAAACAAACAAAACACCAATCATGGCGGCACATACATGTAATTCCAGCCTTGGTGAGGTGCAGACAGGCAGGTTCCTGGTTTGCTGACCTGCCAGTCTAACCTGCTTAGTGCATTCCAGGCCATCGAGGTTGGCTTCTAGCTTCCACATACACACATATATGCATGCATAGACACACAAAATACACATATGCTTATCTTTAAAATGTCTTCAAAACATTTTGTATGCATGCTTCAGAGAACATCTGAAAGATGTCCAAAATATTGTGAGCTCAGCTGCCAGAACACCTCCTCCCAGAAAGAGTCTGAACTTCCTGCCTTTAGTCTTTTTTTTAAAAAGATTATTTTACTTTATGTATATGGATGCTTTGCCTGCATGTATATAAGTGCATCTTCTACCTATGGGGCCAGAAGAGGGTATTGTGTCCCCTGGAATTAGAGTTACAGACAATTGTGGGCTGCCATGTGGGTGCTGGGACCCTAACCAGGGTCCTCTGGAAGAGCAGCCAGTGCTTTTAGCTCTGAGCCATCTCTCCAACCCCAAGATTTCATTGTTTTTGAAATTGGCATTCTAGTGATTATTCACTATTAATAATTCATTAATTAGCTACATTTGAGAGGTCAGAGACATTTAGCACCAAAGTCTATAGCTGAGATCTTAAGTTGGAATTAGAATGTTATTTTTCAGATGGGTTTAGGGGATGTGGCCTTGAACATGCAAGGCAAACATTGTACCACCCAGCTGCATGCCCAGCCTCCTGGATTGGAGTCGGACATAACCAGGAACAGCACCAGGAGGTAATCCCTGGCTACTCTGACACTCAGGAACATGGGGTGACACTTTTGTACTAAGAATGCCATGAGATTTCAGCCTTGTGTGTTTTCAAAGGTGTTTGACCAGAGTGCGCTGTCAACAGAAGCCAAGGAGGAAATGTATAAACTGTACCCTAATGCCCGGAGAGCTCACCTTAAGACAGGAGGCAATTTCCCCTACCTGTGCAGGAGTGCAGAGGTCAATCTTTATGTGCAGGTAAGTCCAGCTAGACCCCAGAACATGTGTGCTTTAGAGACCCTCAAGGCAGTGTTCCCTCAACAATCCTCCTCTAGTCAGCAAGCCTTGCATCACACACTGTGGTAGTGGCCCTCAGTATGATGTGCCTTGCTTCCTGGAGACAGGAAATGCAGCCAGGGAAAGACATCACATCTAAATGGAACACTCCAAGCCTCAGAAAATGACTTCTTGATCTGCTTACGCACTAATGGCAAAAATAAAACATGACCTCATTCTCTCAAGAGATTACTAGACTGGGTGAGAGTGGCTGCCTTGATAATCTGGAGAGAAGCATCAGGGGCCTTCCTGGTGAGTGAGCCCCATCTTTAATGTTCTCTGCTCCTGTGGATGTCGATCCTAAGGAGGCAGTCCTAACCATAGAGAAACCGATGCCCAGGGATGCCCACCATGCCGTTAGCCACAGTAACAGAAGACTGTGCGTCCTTGGGGAGAGCAGCGTCGGGCTGTTTAAGGTGTATATGAAAGGCTGACAAGGTGGCTTAGTGATTAAGAGCACATTCTGCTCTTGTACAGGATGTAGGTTTGATTCCCGACATGCACATGATGGCTCACAGTCATCTGTGACCCCAATTCTAAGAGATCCAAAACCTTCAGCCTCTACAGGCATCAGGCACACATGAGCAAAACACTCATACAACTTTTAAAAAGAAAAGAAAGAGGTTTATGAAGGTCCAGAAAAGGTCTGCGGTATGCAAGCATGAAAACTGTAGTTCAGATCCCCAGAGTCACATAAACGTCTGGTGAGCATGGTATCCTGCATGAACTTCCAGTTTGGGAACGTGGAGTCTGGGGATTGCTAGAGAAACTGGCTCTCATGACTAACCATATCAGGGGGCTGGAGAGACTGCCCAGCAGTTAAGAGCACTGGTTGCTCTTCCCGAGGACCTAGGTTCAATTCACGCTGGTTGCTCTTCCCGAGGACCTGGGTTCAGTTTGCGGCTCCCACTTGGCAGCTCACAACTGAAATTCTAGATCCAGGGCATCCAGCGTCCTCCTCTGGCTTCCTACAGCACTGCATGAATCTGATTGAATATGGTACATGGGTATATGTGTAGGCAAATCCCCTGTATACATTTCTTAAAAAAGGATTGGCCATATTAGAGAGCTCTGGATTTGATTGATACCCGCCTACCTCAGTGATTACGATGGAGAGTGATCAACCTTGGCCGTCTACACGCACATACACACAAGCCCACACACACGTGCCCACAAATGTACATATACACGAAACATGGGGGTTATGTGTGGGGCGGGGGGCGATGTCCATGAAAACTTGGCAGGAGAACCTGCTTAAAAACACAAAACAATTTGAGGTCAATGGTCCTACCAATTCTTTGGTCAGCAGAGTGGTGAATACTTGTAATTTAGCACTTTTAGGCTATCACAGGATTTCTGTAAGTTCAAGGCTGGTCTGAGCTACATTGTGAGACCCATACTCTTTTTTTTTTTTTTTTTTTTTTGTTGGCTTTCTCTAGCATGTAATTTTAGGAAAACTTTTATGTTCTCCTGCCATGCTTGTTAATAGCATGCTATACCTTCTGCTCTGTAATACAGTCATTGCAGAACAAAGGTGCTGGGTTGGGGAGATTTTAGTGGTAAAGTGTTTGCTATGTGACAAGGAGGGCCCGAGCCTAGTCTGCACAATCCAGGTTTTAAAAAGCAGGTGTGGCGGCATAGCCCTGGGGAGGGACAGACCCTGGGGCTGGCTGTCCTACCTGCCAAGCTTGATCCCACTGAGAGACTACCTCAAAAGACAAGGTGGACAGCCAGTGACGGTTCAGTGGTTAAAAGAACTGCCACTAAGCCCAACAACCCAGTTCAGTGCCAGGAAACTACACAGAGGAGGTGACAGTCAACTCCCACAGCTTCTCTCTGACTTCCTAACATATACAAACTAAGTAAATTCTTAAAGGAGCCCTCCGGGGGCTGGAGAGGTGACTCAGCAGTTCAGAGCACTGGTTGTTCTTGAGAGGTCCTGAGTTCAATTCCCAGCAACCACATGGTGGTTCACAAACATCTCTAATAGGATCTGGTGTCCTGTTCTTGTGAACAAAAGACAGAGCACTCATACATAAAATACCTAAATAAGTCTATCTTTTAAAAGGGGGCAGGGGAGCCCTAAGGAGTGACACTGATGTTACTCTCTGACCTCCACATAATCTCAGAAAGATTCAGGAGTGGCGATGGGTCACCCAGTGGCGGAGCCTTTGTTATAGCACTCTGAAGCCCTTGCTTCAGTCCCAGAACCATAAACATAACCCTAATAATAACCAAAATAACCTGCACTTTTCCAGATACATCTGCTGCAGTTCCACGGAACCAAATACGCTGCCATCGACCCGTCAGTGGTCAGTGCGGAGGAGCTGGAGGTGCAGAAAGGCCGCCTCGGCCTCAGCCAGGAGGAGCCATAGATGGGGCTCGAGGCATCGAGCCCCCCTGCTCTTGCACAATCAGTTCAGGGTCGTCAGGCACACTGGTCCTCACTGTTCTAGAAGTAGGACTGATTGTCAATCTCATGACAGGCGTCAGCTCTTCTAAGCCAGTGTGACTGTCCCCTCTCCACGTTTGTTTTTGTTTTAAACTTTTGAATTTGAAGAACTTTTGAAGACTCCCCATTTTAAGAACTGTGGAAATTTTGCTACCAAAAGTCTTCTCCACGCCCGTGTGTTCATCTCGAAGGCTTGGGATCATGTGGCGTTTTCTCTTTTCCTGCTTTCTATAACTGCTGCACCTCCAGGTTGGAAAAGGAACACCGGTCATCTTTATGGTTTCTTGGGCATAACCAGAGTGCCAAGGCAGGCAGCTGGCTGGCCACTCCCTACACATCAGCTTTTTAGTTTCCAGTTGAGCACACCATTTTGAGTATTAGCTATTGTATTTCTAGACATTACATTTGGAATAAAAATTAAATTTCGGCGAGCGGCTCCTGTGATCAGTGTTGCTGCCCCTCTGGGCTGCTGGCCAGTGCTGCATGATGCTGGGTGAACATCTTCACTCTAGCTGCGGCACGGCTGGCTGTTACCTGCCAACAGCTGCTGTATGCCACGAGATTTTCTTTTCATCCTTCTCACTAATGGGATTTGTTAAAAAGAGAGAGGGTCTCATTTAGGCTAGGCTGGCCTTGAACTCGTGTCAAGGCTAGCTTAGAGCTCCTTATCCTCCTGCCTCCACCTCCCAAGTGCTAGGATTATACATGTTATCCTGGAAGATCACCTGATGCCTGATAGAAATGTTTTTAGTGCATATGGAAGAAATAATAAGCTGTCTCCAGCTCTTGATCTTAAACCTCCAGCCTGCAGACAGCCTCGTCTGCTCGTCTGTCTCCCTCACTTTTCCACATACCTCCCTACCCTGGATCACTATAAAGCCCTTCTGATACTATAGCATTTCTATGTGTACTTTCAAGAAATAAGATTGGATATTTGAGAAGCTGCGGAGATGGCTCAGTGAATAGACGTGCATGCTAGACAAGCATGAGGACTTGAGATAGCCCAGTGCCTGTGTACAATGTTGAGAGTGTCCATGCAGCCTGTAACCTCAGATAGCCCAGTGCCCATATACAATGTCAAGAGTGTCCACATAGCCTATAAACCTCAACACTAACTGCAGGGCATCCTGGGCCTCTGCCCACACATACGCAGGTATATACACACCCATGTGTATACAGTTGTGTATACAGTAACAAGTTATTTGATAATAAAGGTTGAAATATCTGTATAAGATTTCATTCAGTCCACATATTAGTTTATAAGATTCATATTAGAAAGCTATAATTAACATTTTGAAAAAACAGTTATGGGAAGTTATCAATATAAAGCTAGAAAAAAACTAATGCCTCAACTATAATCATAAAAAGCAAAGATCTTGGGCTAGCAAGATGGTTGAGCAGGCAAAAGCCCTTGTCACACCAGCCTGAGATCTGTTTTTGAGCCCCAGAACCCACAGTGGAAAGAAAACCATGTCTGCAAATTGTCCTCTGCCTTGCACATGTGTGCTGTCACATGTACATGCCCATGCTCATACACACATAGTAAACTTTAAATAAGTGGACATGGTAGTGCACAGCAGAAGCAGGAAGATGTCTGTGTCCATGAGGCCAGCCTGATCCACATGATGAGTTCCAGATCCGTAGTGAACCCACTCCTTAAATAAAAACCAAGGCTCTTGACAGGAAGATGGCTGCCTCAACACAACAGGTTTACAGCTGTATACTGAGGTGACTGCAGGTGACCCTGGGATTCATCAGGAGCTTAGTGGGGTCCTCCGAACCCCGGAGATCTGCGGCATCATCAAGAGAAACAAAGTACCATCTACCATCTGACTGAATCACACCCACACCCACACTACACATAAAGGGATACAGAGCTTGCTTTTGCGGTTTCCTGACCCTTGCGGTCTGATAGCCTCAATATATAGGAGTTCTAAAATCAGCAGTGATCTCTGGCTTTGGAAAAGGAATTCACTCAACTCCCAAAGACCCCTAATGTGCTGTAGCCAGGAGCCATCTTGAGGGGGAACCTACCTTCTGAATTTGGACTGCATTGGAGGTCTGAAATACACGCATATTCCCATCTGTAACCACTCTACTGCATTAGTTGGCTCATTAGATCCGGCTCAGCAGAAGTCATTGATACACACCAACTGAGAATGTTGTTTGGTTAGGAGCTAGTAGTGTGGTGCAGAGGGGAGTGGAGGGTGCTGTCCACAGAACCAGAGGATTCTGAAATGGACATGGCTACACACCTGTGGCTTTGGTGCTAAAACCAGGGACTATCTCCAGGCAGCTCACGATTCTTCCAGCACACCGTTGACTCCTGCTGCTAGCAGTGCAGAGCAAGAACTCAGGTTTCAAAGCTCCTCCACCTGCAGAGATGTGCTGAAACACAGTAGCAATGCCTCTCTGGCTCCACCTCCAAAGCCCACAGCCTAAGAATGTCCGGAGAGAAACTCCCTCCCTTGTCCATAAATGTCCTGCCTCTCTTAAGCATGATCCATCAACTTAACATCTGATGGACAAAAACAAATGAAAGAATTGGCAGGAGATATTGCAGGATATTTGATTACATCACACTGTGAACCCTGAGACTGTGTTTCTAGATGTGTGGCTCAGCCCTTGGCACACACCTTTAGTACACACCTTTAATCCAAATAATTTGTAGAAGGAAGCACCTGTGTTTGAAAGTGATATAGCTAATTCAATGACAGACAAACTGATGAATCAGAGAAAGATTTGACAGAATGAGATATGCCCAACTGTTGTTTTTTTTGTTTTGTTTTGTTTTTGTTTTTTGTTTTTTGTTTTTTTTGGGGGGGGTTGTTTTGGGTTTTTTGTTTTTGTTTCTTTTTGGGTTTTTTTTTGGGGGGGGGGTTTGGAGACAGGGTCTCTCTGTGTAGCCCTGGCTGTCCTGGAACTCACTCTGTAGACCAGGCTGGCCTCAAACTCAGAAATCCGACTGCCTCTGCCTCCCAAGTGCTGGGATTAAAGGGGTGCACCACCACTGCCCGGCTGATATGCCCAACTCTTATGAGAACAGAGAGAAAAGACAAGCTTACAAGAGAGCAGTTTGGACAGAAAAGGAGAAAAAAAAGGAAGGAAGCAGTTTTACCCGACAGTTGTACAGGTTACAGAGAGAGAACAAGCTAGACACAGATGAAGACAGCACAAGCCAGAGACAGAGGAGCTAGAAAATTACAACATATTGTCTACATTAGTATGAGGCCTAGCAAAGCAATTCAGGACAAGCTAAGAGAAGCCAGATTGAATCAGTCAGCTTGGAGAGGAGTTTGAGCCAGAACAGCTCAGTTGACCAGCCAGCCAGAGTTCAGAAAGAACTAGGACGTGCCAGCTTGTTCAGCAGGAAGTCTCAGAGGCTGAAAACATTTTAGGCCTAGATTAGATTTTACAGAAGCGAGAAACTTCCAGGACGAACTAGCCTCCGAGATGACAATTACATTCAGGCAGATAAAAGTTATAAGGAGAAAAGTTCCAGTTCCCCGTATCCCAAGTGTGCATCCCCACAGGGACTTGCCCTTTGTTTGATTACCACTAGCAAGAAATGCCAAAGAGTTGGAGCTGATTCTTGTCCCTACCTCTCCTTGTGAGGTATATGCCCCAAATTAGTATCTAATTCAATGAAAAAGTGTCCCTGGTCACTGTTGAAACAGTCACTAAGGAACACTGAAATAACAGAGTTGATACCATCACTGCTTCAACAGATCCCCATTGTCAATAAACCTACCACTCATGCTGTAGGAAAAACAGAGTGTACCACACACACCCTACCTATGCCACACCTGCTAAGCTGTTCCTGTCAAACCACTCATTGGACTGTAGTGTCCCTATTCAGCTTGATACAATATTTACTCTGTCCACACTCATCACAGCTATCGAAGCTTCAGGGAGTTTGTATCCAGCTGGAAATAAACATTGTAACAGACGGATATACCCTCAATACACACTTATGAGAAAGCCACTTATTAAGAGGGCCATCCAGTGGCAATGAGATGGCTCAGTGGGTTAAGGTGCTTGTAGCCAGGTCTGAAAACCTGAGTTCAGTTCCTGGAACCCACATGGACGCAGAGAGTCAACTGCAGCAGGCTGTCCTCAGAGCTCTACACATGTGCCACAGCCCACACTTGCACACTCACATTTAATTAAACCCAACGAGATGGCTCAGCAAGTAAAGAGTTCAATTCCCAGAACTCACACGGTAAGAAGAGAGAGCCAATTCTTGTCCTCTGAGTTCAGGCACACAGGCCATGGTTACAGCACATGCAAACAGACACACGCAGTACATAAAAGTGAAATATGTCTTAAAGAATACCGAGTATCTCTATGTCTCAGACTTGTGTCCCCACCACAGTTCTTGTCACACTGGTCTTACAAGGGAGTTCCAGGTACTTTGCTCAGGCTCCAGCAGGACCAGTGTGGCCAGTATGCCAATGTGACATCTGACAAAGCCAGATGTCACCGTGCTTCCTCTGTTTAATGGTTTGACACCTCCTGGGAGCTAGGGGGCACTTGTAAGCAGTCAAGACAGAGCTTGGCATTTCAACTGGTTGTACCTAAGGCTCCAGGCAGGCCTCACAGTTTCTCTGTGCTTTGATCTCCAGCCACACAGCTGCTGTAAGTAGCCATCACAGAGCCAGAAGATACAGTGGCCGTAGGCTGTCATGTGCTTTCTTTCCAAATCCTCCCTGAGTGGGTTCACCCCCCCCAAAAAAAAAAAAACTTTCCTATCTGCTCCACCACTGACAAGCTGCCATTTCCAGTCCTGACTGATTTGGTTGTAAGCCTGCAATCCTTTTTCAGGCCTGTCTTTGAGACTGCCTTCTACTGGAGCCTCAGACTCCGCCAGGCTATAAACTACAACCACTCCTCAACCCATCTGTCAAACCTGCCCGCCTCTTCTCCCAGGCACCAAGGAGCCGCTGAAACTCCCACCCAGGCCACATGCACCTAGGCCTGCAAGGCTCAGAGAGAAGCCCAATGCCAAGTTAAAACTTTGTGCACAAGATGGGAGGAGATGCTGGACTCTGAAGCATGTCCTGCCCACCAGACAGGAAGCCGTGGGACTAGTGACGCCTCTGGATTGACATAGGTGAGTCTTCTGCCGCCTGGCTCACTCAGGTCCCAATGCAGCCTGCCATGGGGGAGCATGGTCCTGGGTGAAGGCAGCTCTTTGTAGTAGAGGCAGACTCTAAACAGGCTGACAATGGGAGACTGGCTATGCCCACTGCACTCTACACCACCAGGCTGAAGGCCTTTCTTGAAAAAGATCTGTCTACACAGCACATTTCCACACCTACCGCATCCCCAGACTAACAGATCTGCCATCCATCCTACAGAGCCCAACCCTTCCTGCCACAGGCCAGGACTTGGTACTTCCTGCCCAGACTACCAGTGGCCCCTCTCTGGC